TGACTTGGGTCCCACCCAGACTCCAAGGACGCTGAAGGGGACCTTACCAGCTGTCTCCCATTCATTAGCTTCTGTTGTCAGGGCCCGGAGAATGCCACGGTTCTTCAGCTCTGAGATCTGTAGGGGCAGATGACCTTCAGTGTGAGGGTGGAATCCACGTCCCCTGTACACACAAGCACTTCCCACCCACCCTACTGAATGTCTTTAAAACTGGAGGCAGAGGCTCTAGTCTACCCTGATGGGTCAGTTAAAATCAATCTTAAAGTGACCTACCCGAAAAACTTCACCTATGAGGTAGAAGTTGGGTGATGTGGGGGACAAGTGTGTGTTCTCTTTGAACCGTAACAAAAATTCATAGAACTCATCTGAGACTGTGGTGCGCCTTTGGTATTTCCACTGCACTTTATGCTCTACTTCATTATAGCAATTATCTTATTAGACAGAGGTTGGTTTGCATGTTTGGGCCCCATCCCCTCCCAAGAGTGAGCTCCTGGAGGGTGGGTTTATGCCATCCGTGTGTCCCTAGTGCCTAGTACAGTGCCCAGCGCACAGAAGCACGCAATAAAAGCCTGTATTGGCAGGAGGCTCTGAGGTTTGGGTGATACGTACAGGAATTCCTCTGAAAGCCACAAGAGCACTGTTGTCCTTGTCATGTGATGGAGAGAACCCAGCAGACACTCTTTCACCCTGTAAGACAGACCAGAGTCAATCTCCCAGGCACATATTAAATCTCCAAAGATGACAGTTTAAGTGTCACAATTTTTCCCACTACCACAAAAAATGGATGAACTCCAGAGAAGTTAACTGCAAGGGATACTGTAAAGCAAAACCTCTGTTTAATGTGGTCTTAAGAAAAACTGCAGGGAGGGCTGGCTGGTTAACTCAATTGATTAGAGCATGGCACTGATAACACCAAGGTCCAGGGCTCAAGCCAGCTGCCAAAAAAAAAAAAAAAAAAAGAAGGAAAGAAAAAAAACTGCAAAAAGTTTAGTTAATGTTATCTTGAAAATCTTATGCAGATTTCTTGGCTCTTAAAGTTTGAAGGGCTCTGAGTGAGTAAAGCTCAGTGAGGCAGCTTGCTGTGGCTCTTTTGCTCGGGCAAACCTCTCCCCTACTGCAGTTAAAAAAAAGAGAAATGCTTGGCTGGCTGTCTGCAACTCATATCACAGACACAAGGCTAATTTTCCCCGTATGTTAAAAAATCCTACAAATCAATAAGGGAAAAACCCCAATTCAGCAGAAGAACGGGCGAAGGATATGGACAATTTACATAAAAGGAATCATAAATTGGTCTTAAGCATATCAACAAATGCTCAACCTCACTAATGAGAAATGCTTAATATTTAACAAAAATGCTTAATGAAAGTACTCTCTGAGATATGTTT